TCACTAAATTTGCCATGGTTCGTAACATAAACTTGCCAAGGTGGAGGGGGAAAAATTGCCATGATCTAGGGAGAAAAGTGCCATGTAGTATGGGCAGTAAGGTGAATTTGCCGTGGGACATGAAGTTCACTATCCATTTTTGCCATTATAAAAAAAAATTGCCATTGTCCCAAACAAATTTGCCATGGCAACTACTTGTACGGATACTGCCCATGGCAACTACTACATAAAAAAAATCCATGGCAACTACTCGTGAAAATTCTGCCCATGGCAACTATTACATAAATTTGCCATGGCAACTAATGCAGAATGTTCCCATGGCAACTACTACAGAAATTTGCCGTCACAACTACTCGTAGCAATTATGCCCATGGCAACTACTCCCAGAATGTTGCCACACAATTACTATGGCGGTCGAAATTCTCGCAACTACTATGGCATGCGGAGCTCTTGAAACTCCGGCAAACTCGATCTTAAAGTTTACCATGACAAACTCAATCTTGGGTTATCCATAGCAAAGACGTCTTAAAAAAGAGTTGCCTTGATCCCTAACCTAAGAGGACATACAACCTATGACAACGTGATTTCTCCTTAGAAAATCATGGCAATTTTGCCATGACAAGAAAGTTGGGACATGGCAAAAATGTTGAAAACGTGGCAAAATCAACAATATTAACAATTTATTGGTCTCTTAAAAAGACATGGCAAAATTGCCATGGATAATCAATCAACACATCGCAACAATTTCCCTACGTTTCCAACCAAATCAATGAGCTTGCAAATTCGAACCGTTTCATTCTACGCATGAATCATCAACACAGCTAGGTAATTCGTCGGAAAAACACTGTTGTAATTGGTCACTGTTTAGATCGAGGGACGAACCCGCTGGCAACAGGGGGAGGAGGGCATAGCGTGCGTCGGTGGAGGCCGTGGAGCAACTCGTCGACAGTGGCCACCGCCTCTCCTGTCTCGGACAGCGCCGGGGGATGGCGCCCCTCTCCCTGAAGTCCGCCACCGCCCTGCGGAGGAGTTCCTGACCCGGACAGCGCCGGCGGCTGGATACCCCACACAAATGAGCTATGGCAGCGGCTGCTGTGATGAGGAGGTGCGGCCACCACCTCTCCACCTCGTGCGCCGACGCTCCTGTCCCGAACAACGCCGGAGTACGGCGCCCCTCTCTCTCAAGCCCGCCATCGCCCCGCGAAGGAGCTCCTGACCCGGATGGCGCCGCCGGCAGGATACCCGCACGAAGGAGCCATGGCGGCGGCTGCTGGGAGGAGAAGGTGCGGCCACTACCTCTCCACTTCAAGCGCCGCCGATGACGTCGTCGAGGTCGAGGAGGAGGCGCCATCAGGGTAGTGCGCACGGGGGCATGGAGCTTGCGCGGCAGCAGGGTAGCGCGGCGTGGCTCCCTAGAGCTCCCCGGCGACGGGAAGAGCGGCGTGACGCCTGGAGCTCCGCCATATAGGGAGTCGCGATATGGTTGGCGGCGTGGATCGAGCTCCCTGAGGTGCTGACACCGCCGAGTTCCTCCTCTTGATGCCGCGGCCCTGCCCAGCTCCACACCGCCTCTCTCGTCTCTCCGCCACGGCCCCCCAGCCTCCGCCTTGCAAACCACCATCACCTCGCCATGGAATCGCTGGGAGACACAGGATTTGAGAGAGGAGATAGAAATGGGGAGGGAGGAAGACAAGAGAGGAAGCGAGATGGATAAGGTTGGGGTCGCTCGGGTCGTGCGGTGTAACGCGATTTTGGAACGCACGATAGCAACGAATGACGTGGCACTGGCTTTGTTTCAAACTTCGTGCTATTTGATCCAATGGTGATTAGGGCGGACCAATTGTCTTCGTGCCACACGTGTGGGCGCTGTCATTTAGGTAAGCTAGAGCTTTAGGTACTACTTCAAGAAATATAGTCCAGTAGGACCATGGAGGTGTGTCCCGGTAGAGTGAAAAAATATCCTCTGCCTTATGCCCTATGTGTTAGTTATTTATACATACGAGGGATCTCTGATTCAGACCCTAGATTGCATAGATGTTGTTAGTATGATTCAGTAGGAAAGTCTGCAGTCATTTGAAAAGCTACTCTTGATAACCATGTAGTATCTCATCATACTCTTCCTTCAAAGGGATAAATAGTGCCTTTCACAGTATATTCTCCTGGATAGTTCTGTCCTATTTCTAACATTGGAATATGGTAGATTGACCTCTGAATCAAATTAAGGTTTCTAGACACTTTCGCATTGTTACGCCATCATCCATCTGTATGCTAAATATTCCGAGTGAAACCATTCAGTAATTGTTTTTATATATGTTGCCATGTTGCTACAAGTTAGTAATTTGATGAAATCACGCCACTGTTCCATTAGTTACTACCTAAGAGATTGTTGCTTTCTTTATTTTCTACCATCTGAACCTGACTAAGAGAAACAGTTATTTTCGAAGTTGGCCCTTTGCTGGAGTTTGATAGCATGTTACATTAATCATTTACAATATTTGACTCATGGAGAGAATATGATCCTGTTATTCACCTGAATATCATTCCTACCAGCTGATTTTAGGACATATTCAATCATCATGGCTGATTTCCTTTCCCCTTAGCAGTTGCTTAAACAGAACAACTGAACAAGACTGACTTCATTTGATGCATTATATACATATATACATACCTCTAAAACCAAGCATGTTGAAACATTTTAAATATACACAAGAAAATGCATTGTGGGCATTGCGGCGTCTAGCTCAGAAAGTGTCATGGCGGCAACTTTTGCCGAAGATAAACCAACAATTTAGTAGTCAAGGAACCATCCTTTGTCCTTATGAATGGAAGAAAAAGATCATCTAATCGGTAAAACCAAATAGAGAGGATTCATCAATTATATAAGAAACTACATAGCTGCCTACAAGCAAGGCGAGGCGTGCCGCCATGCATGGCCAGTAAGACCTTATTTATGAACTGTATACGTGCCAACTACAAGCATGGCTGGCAATAGTAACCACGTCAATTAAGCCATAACCGAACCTGATCTAAGGACATGTATCAATGTTACATTCCGCTATCAATTGAGATCCTTGAACAGACTATAATAAAACAACCTCACAATCATGCAAAAATACAACGACAGAACTAAATTAAGCATCTAATATATCCCTCCAGGACAAAGATAATACTAGCAAGTGGGTACAGGGAATAAACAGTATGGCATCTTGATTACCAAACATATCAGGATCCAATAGTCTTATGAGATTGTCCCTACCCGTCCACCATTTAGAGGAGGCACCTACACCCCTAGAGCATCAAGCTGACACCACATATTGGGTTACTATAAATGAGCGAACATAATAAGGCATTGGCTTTTTTTTCGTATTAGCAGAACAATTTTCCAATATTGTTCATTCAACAGTGACATTCCGATTTGATCCAACCATCATTTAAACTGGTTTCCAGATGAAATCCATTAAATATCCATAATCCATACAACAAAAAAACAAATCGACCAGCTAAAACACAAACAACTACAGCGTTCATTTATGTAATGGTCAACATAAATTAGAAAATTATATATGCATAAAACGGTACTTCCTCGGTTCCAAATAATAGCCTCACAAAACGTCTTATAATTTGGGACGGAGGTAGTACATAGTGTTACTACTAACACATAGTTCAGGGATAAGCAGGAAAATAAGAAATAACAACAAGAAATCGATAATTAGTAGGAAGCACAGAGTAGATAGAATAGGCAAAAAATTGCAGCATAGATCCCGTTAAATGAAAAGACTCAACAGAAACAGCATGAGCAAAACACGAGACAGAAAGAAAGATCTAGCATCCGTGACGAATTAGGTGGGAGAAAACGCGTTGCAAGGAAGCCTCCAAAGGAGAGGACACGGAGAGGGCGCACCTTCTTGATGACGAGTGGGCCCAGGAAAACGACGGCGGCCGCGGCCGCGCCTGCGAGGAAGATCCCGAGTACGGCGACCTTCGCCCACCACCGGATCGCGCGGCATCGCAGCAACCTTGGGCACTCCCCTTCCTCCTTTACGGCCTCCTTGATCGCGTCCACATCCTCCGGGATCCTCATGTACTCGCCGCGTCCGCATCCGGCACCGCCACTGGCGGCCCCCGACATTCCCATGGGTCGGACGCGATCAAGCGAGCATGCCCAAGGGGACACCCCCCGGATTTATTGGGTGCCGAATTGGTCCGCGCAAAGCCAAATCTGGCTCGAGCTGGGCGGATTTCCGGGGTGCTATGTGCGATTGAGGAGCGCTAGGGTTTGGTTTCAGGGAGGGGGAGGAATTTGTGAGGAGTGGGAGCGAGGCAACGGCATTGGGGCGGACTCGGTTCTGGTGGGCACTGGAGGCAGGGGAAACCGCAATATTTTTATTTATTTTTTAGAACTGGGTGCGTGGAAGCTTGCTATCCATGTGCCAGAGCCATGAGTTGGTTGCGAGATCTTATGGGTTTCACTTCTAGCCTACCCCAACTTGTCTGGGACTAAAGGATTTGTTGTTGTTTTTGTTGTTGTTTTGGAACTAGAAATCGGAATAATTGTGTGGGTATTTTTTGACTCACCCACTGTATGCGTGTGAATGTGTCCAGCACATCCGCGAACAAGGCCGCTTCTCATTTTTTTCGCCACTATAACCAGACCTGACATTTCATCATCTATTTTTTTAAGATGAGGCACTTGCCTAGTCTTGCTTTTTTCGACGCTGTAACGAGACATGAAATCTCATCACCTATTCTTTTCAGAGACGAGGCACTTGTCTGCGGAAAGTCAATCTTACTCCCAGGTGCATTTACACCCGGGACCATTTTGTTTTCTCCAAATGTCAAAAAAATTGAGACAAAGTCTGGCCTTAAACTGAGGCCCTTACAAAGTCTTACACACAGTCGTGAAGGGCCAAAAGCTTAGATGTACGACTACAATAAACTCTGCCGAAAGAAAAGACGAATACAAGCAGTAAGGCTGATAAACAGCGATGCAGAGCTGCTCCCAGGGCATGACAAAGAGATGATAGTCGCCCAAAAGGGGACCCCAGGGGCGGCGCCTAGCCGGTGGTCTCCTACCCCGATCATCGAAGTTCAGTGCACTTTACCCGCACCTTTAGGATGAGCAGCTCCACCCTTATTTTGTCATTTGGTCTCGACAGTAGTTTTAGCTGCAAGAAAGATACCAATTTGTAAAGCAAGTCGAGAGGTTGATGGAACATTGAATCACATGGTATGCATAATATGTTGTGAATATGCGCCCACCCGAGAACAAATCGACGTGATTGAAGTGTGGAACATGACACAGTGACAAACGATAATTTGAGAGGAAAAAACACTGGCCTAAACAAAGGAAAACAGTCGCAAAAGATCCCCGAGGAGGACCCTGACGTCGGCCATGACGTACTCAGGGGGCTGATCCCCGGAGCAGACGAGACATGCATTGGCCAGAGAAGCTGGCTTTGCAGCGCACTCCACCGACCAAACATTAAATGCTTGACCGGTCTACCAGGAATAGCTTGGCACAGGGCTACGTCTAGGGTCATCATCACGACGACCCGAGGGGCATAAGACAAGACGGAACACAGGCGCGGCGTAAAGCATGAGAAGGGCAATGCAGCGCGTCACGTCGGGGAAGGCACTCGAGCACCTGGCATGATGCAGCGTCAGCTCATCTACTGTCGTGCGTTAGGAGCAGGTGGACTAGTTGAACCGACTATAATTTCGTATATTCTTTGGTATTGATTACGGACCAAGTGTGGTGCCCCCAGGCCTATATAAGGGAAGGATCGTGGTCAAAACGAGGACAAGCAAAAATAGGCTCACACACTGCATCACACCCACCCTCAAGCATAGTTAGAGGAAGTAGGAGAAAGGAGAGAGATAGGAGTGATCGGGCACTTTAGTTAGTATCCCGACCAACACTGGTCTCACCCTGACCACCGCTTTTATAACACTCAAGCGCTTGTACTCCACCGATTCTATCAAATATCAACATGATGTAGGGTTTTACGCCAAAATGGCGGCCTAAACCTATATAAAATCCCTCGTGTCCATGTTTTTCCTGTCTGCCTTGGAGAGTTGATTGACTAGGCGTTTTAGCCCTTGGCCGAAATCACAAATAAAGGGTATCTTTGATCCCTGGAGTCTGGAGAACGCACTCCGACATCTGGCGCGCCGGGTAGGGGGCTAAGACTGAGTCAAGAGATCGGTGGGGAAGACAAGTTGGATCATAGACCAAGGCAGTCCGGGTGAGCTCCCGCAAATTATTGTTGCAAGAAGAATAGGAGAAGGGGAGGAACTGTCGAAACCTCAGTATCCGACAAGTTTTCGACGACGGTCTCCACCGACCGGGATTATGGGGGCCGCAACCGCGTTGCTCTACATAGCAGAGATCTTGCATAACCCGCCAGTGCCAATGGACATGCGGTCTCCCCTGAGCGTCTAGCTTCAGGAGATTAGTGACCTCACCAACAACACCCCAGATCTGAGGTCAGGCGAAAAAAAGGATCATTTTGGTATCAACCCACCCCACTCCATCGAGGAAATAAGCTCAGAGGCGGGGGCAGACGATGAACGCCGACAAACCCTCAAACAAGGGACCGTAGATACTTGCCAAGGTCATAAAAAGCGACGCCGAAGATGCATCAGCATCAGACAAGAAGAAGATGAGTGTCTACCTGGCCTACTCCAACGATGCGGCTTGAGCGTCGCCATCGCCACCGGAAGAACCTCATGTATAGTCCAAATCATTTTTTTCAAATGAAAGCAGATCCAGAAGACCGGCGAGAGGAGGACTAGGAGAACCAGGAGGCGAAGCCACCTTCCGAACCAGGAGCAGTCTGCTACATACTAACGGGAGGAAGATCCGATCAACGAATTAGGTATAATAACATACCCCAACAAGAGCAATCCGCTACAAACTAACAGGAAGGTTTTTATCACCTCATTTTTGGTGAGTGGTTTTCCCTGGTGAGGGATTCCACTCCGCTACCAAAACCCTAACACGAGGGCGCTCCAGACGAGGGTCCATCATTGCCACCCCAAGGCAACGGGCGCTGCTAACCAGGAGCAATCTGCTGCAAAGTGAAGGCGGGCCCTGCCAACTACATATTCAAGCTCTCCTTAACCAGGAGCAGTCTGCCACAAATTAACGGGGAGGCTCTTGCAGACCAACATGTAGGCCCCTTCCGACCAGGAGCAGCCCGCTTCATAATGATGGAAGGGCCTTGTTCTCTGAAACCTAAATAGGAGGGCGGGCGCACGGACCCCTCTTTTCCCCGACCATCGTGTGTGCATGCAAAAAGTCAAGTTGGGGGCATCAGGAACCGACCAACATATGTGCTTGTCCGCATCCCCGGGTAGTTCTACTATGCGTGGATGGAGGAAACCTCGTCAGTATCAACAAACCCATGGGTGAGAGGATGGGCATACGATTCTTTTCTTTCCCTGACCATGGGAGTAGTGGAGGGCTGGTCGAGAAAGAGAGGGAAAAAAGATCAAGAACGACGATGAACTTGGTCAGAGTGAAAAAACGAACCAATGGCTGACCTATAGACCCCATCCAGCAGAAGACACCAAGCACAAAAATTCTCATGAGTATCCCGACCATGGGCGGATTCATGATTATAAGACGAAGAATACACGAGGTCATGCACGTAACAATCACATATAGAGTTCATATATTTACATAAAGACCGTACCAAAAGAAAAGCGATGTTAAAAGGAGGGCTATATCATACAGTGAAGACCTGATAAGGTACTGATCTACCAACCCTTGCATCATCCTAGCTTGAGTACAGTGGAAGGGTTGGGACCAGGAACAAGTTTGTCTGTGCCCAGGATCCTCGGGCTAGCATCCTTGACATTGCCCCACCTCGCCACCATAAGTGGGTCCAAGGACTCCGCCGCCGGCCATTGCACCCATCTCAGAATGTGCGTGGAAGTTAGGGGGCGGAGGTGTGTGCCCGTGTCCTCTGCCTCTTCCGGTATAGCCTCGGTGGAAGTTAGGGGGCGGAGGTTTAAGCCAAAAGATGGAGTTCGGTGTCCGCCTCCGCTGGAAGAAGGCTAGTTCCCGGTGAAGAATTTGGCCGAGGGCAGGGTCTTCCTACACCACCTTCTTGGTCTGCTCCAATTCCAAAGAAACCGCCTCCCAATCGGCAAAAGGTCGACCTAGGAACGTAGCTCTCCTCGTCTGGATCGTCCAGCGCTGATACGTCTCCAACGTATCTATAATTTTTGATGTATTCATGCCATGTTTATAATATTTCTACATGATTTTGGTATGATTTGAGTAGAACTAACCCGGACTGACGCTGTTTTCAGCAGAACTACCATGGTGTTGTTTTTGTGCAGAAATAAAAGTTCTTGGAATGCGCTGAAAATCAATGGAGATTTTTTCTGGAAAATATAAAATATACTGGAACAAAAAGTTATCGGAGAGGAGTCCCGTGGGTCCTCCTAACTTGTTCTCAATGCCAAACCCTCCTATAAATCCAGAATCCCCCGAAACATAACCTAGATCGGGAGTTCCGCTGCCGCAAGCCTCTATAGCCATCAAAAACCTCTTGGGCGCCCGTTCTGGCACCCTGCCGGAGGGGGAATCCATCACTGGTAGCCATCTTCATCATCCTGGTGCTCTCTATGACGAGGGGGGAGTAGTTCACCCTCGGGGCTGAGGGTATGTACCAGTAGCTAGGTGTTTGACCTCTCTCTCTCTCTCTCTCTCTCTCTCTCTCTCTCTCTCGTGTTCTTGATTCGGCACGATCTTGATGTACCGCGAGCTTTGCTACTATAGTTGGATCTTATGATGTTTCTCCCCCTCTACTCTCTTGTAATGAATTGAGTTTTCCCTTTGAAGTTGTCTTATCAGATTGAGTCTTTAAGGATTTGAGAACACTTGATGTATGTCTTGCATGTGCTTATCTGTGGTGACAATGGGATATTCACGTGATCTACTTGATGTATGTTTTGGTGATCAACTTGCGGGTTCAGTGACCTTGTGAACTTATGCATAGGGGTTGGCACATGTTTTCGTATTGACTCTCCGATAGAAACTTTGGGGAACTCTTTGAAGTTCTTTGTGTTGGTTGAATAGATGAATATGAGATTGTGTGATGCATATCGTATAATCATACCCGC